CTGGGTGGCACAGCCCATTAAGTGCTTGGCTCCTAGCTGGGAGGTTGACAGTTCAAACCCAGCCAGAGGCACCTCAGAAGAGGGACCTGGCAATGTGTTTCCGAAAGGGGACAACCCTGAGAACCCTCTGGAGGGGGCGGAGAGTGAGCCGGGCAGAGCTTCCCTGCCCGGGGGGGGGGGGCGCATGGAGAGTGCTGAATCTGGAGGCGGATGAGTAGGGGCTGCTCTGTGTTGGGAAAACCAGTGTGTGAGGTTGCCGGTCCCGAGGACATGGTGCACCTGGGCCGGGGTGACCACTGGGGTCGAGCTGCACCTGGGCAGGACTACGTCACTATGGGATGGGCTGTGTGACTGCCCAGGACCAGTTACAGAATTAGAAACGCAAACGGCCAGCACCCCCGTGAAAGCACAGCCAGCTGTACCAACAGAGGAGCTGGCAGGCAGCTTGGGAGGTGCCTGGACACTAAGAAGTCCGGTGACCAGCAGAGCCGGGTGGTGCCCAGCTACCCCGGCTGACCACTCTAAAAGGGGCCTCAACAGGAGGCCACCAGAGCTCCTGTCCTGGACAGAGGGGAGAAATGTGGAATAAAATGCAAAATCATAAAAAAGACCAGGCTCGCTGCTCTGATGAAGACTGGTGGCACCTCCAAGACGGTGGTCCTTAGACATCCTTCAAGCTAGGAACTGAACTTAATCTCCGTGACTCAGCTGGCAGCCAAACCACAGACAGGCCAGTAAGGTGAACAGTAGCACCAAGCGGTTAGGGACACGTTGCCACAGTCGAGCATATCAAGAGATGGAGAGGACAGGGTGTGCCCAGGGAGAGGGCGCGGAAGGGGCTGGGGGATGGGAAGGAAGGACTAGGGGAAGGGGTGGGTGGAGGGAGGAAGGGGGAAGAACGCTGTCACAGTGTGGAGATTGCAGTAAACGCCACAAAACAGAATGTGTTTGGGTTGTTGAAGGGAACACCTATTTGCTTTGTAAACTTTCACCCAATCACAATTTAAGAAACAGAAGAAGATCAGCGACACTGAGTGGGGTGCGGGAAGGGGGGACAGAGAAGAAAACCAGTTCCTCACCTACGGGAGCATCACCCTGAGGACAAAATTAACAAGCTTTGCAATGTTGCTGGTGATACACCAAAAACCACCAAACCCACTGTCGCAGAGTCAGTTCCGACCCACAGCGCCCCTACAGGCCAGAGGGGAACTGCACCACAAGGTTTCCAAGGCTGTCAATCTTCACGGAGGCAGAGCCCAAACCACACCCACTGCCATGGAGTCCATGAGGATCATGTGGAGCAGCTGGTGGGTTCCAGGGTTCCAACCGCCAACCTTCCGTTTAGCAGCCAAATGCATTAACCACAGTGCACGAGAGCTCCTTGTTGCTGACAATAGGATCACAAATACAAAACCTCAAAACCTATGACTAAGTTGGATGAAGAAATGGTAACATGCCTGTGCAGGCCAGACTCAGACATATTCACTGTGCGCTGTAGAGAGGCAAAGCCAGGCTGCAGGACTGATGGATACTGTTGTAAAAAAAAAAAAAAAAAATTAAGGTCAGAGGCACGCCTGCCTTAGGAGAGACACACCTGGTTGTTAATCAGACTGAGTGGCTCCTGGGCTGGCCTCCCTCCATTTTGACTTCACCGAGTCTTAATTGTTTGAATCCCCTCCTGTGGGCTGTGCATCTTGAATTTTAAGACACAGAGAATGTTAAACATCTTTGTTGGCAAAAAAAAAAAAAAAAAAGCAGCAAAGCAGAGAGGAGGTTCAGGCTTCTTTGAGGCCCTGGTGTAAAGATGGTGAGAGGCTGCCCAGTTCGGCCTCCTGGGAGACCCTAAGCAGAGCACAGGTCTCCGGATTCCGTGGAGAATTTCCCCACTGCATAACTTTTGCATCAGAGTGGTGGGGATGGGTGGAGGCGAGGCAGGAGGGGGTTTTGCACCTAGGAGGATCCCCCTGTCACCCCGGAGGTGACCTTGCCAGTGAGAACCACTGGGTCTGCTCTAAGGTTCTGTGCTGGTCTCCTGTTTGCCCTCTGGGGGTCCCTGAGGGACTTAGGGCTTCAACCCCAGCATTGAAGGTGAGGGGGTCCAACCAAGGATGGCGACAGGGACCCAGGGGGCCAGGATTCCCAGTGCACTGCAGGCCGAACACAAACAACCCCCCTAATTGGCCATATGAGGCCTGAGTCCCAGCTGTGCCAGGTGGAGAGAAACGTCCCTACAGTGACCCCATAGTGCAGGCTCCCCGACACCCAGCTGACGGGGACCAGGCATGCAGCTGAGCCTCCCTACCTCCACTGAGGACCCAGCACCTTCCTACACCAGGACCTGGAGCGCCCCGGCCCACCAGGAACCCAGGTACCCCGTCCGCCTCATTCCCTCACTCACTTCCCTGCAGTGGGGCCAGCACTGGATGGGCGGGGCCGGGGGCCTCAGTGCCTGGTCATGGCCATCAGCATAGACCAGGGTCAGGAGCCCCTGGCACACAGGTCCTGGTTGTGTGGCCTTGGGTGACTCACAACTGTCACGATCATTACCGCTTGGCATGCAGTAGCCCTGACCGGGGGTTCCCAGGAGGACAGAGGGATTTGACTTCACCCCTGCCCAGCCGAGCACTGACCTTGGCCTCAGGGTCACTGTCAAACTTCCCTGTGAAGAGAGGGACCGGGGAATCCTGCACCAATGCAGGCTTGAGGTCAGGGGCCCTGGGTGCTGCATTTTTAGGTGCCCAGCTGATGCTGAGGGCGCCCGGGCTGGGGTGCCCATCACAGGTTCTCTGCACCCAGGAATGCGTCCCCCAGCTTTTAGCTAAAGGCAGGTCTACTGAGCCCTCCTTGCAGCCCTCGGGTGGCTGAGCCAGCCAGAGAGCTGGGCCTTTTGTCCCCGAGATGAAACAGGAGCGTAGCTTTGAAAATACCAACAGCCTCAGATACTCATGACCTGGGCAGCCACGCTAGTGAGGAGCTGGGGCCCCGAGGGGAATGCCTTGTCCAGGAAGCAGCCACAGGGACACTAAACTGAGGGCTTCGGGGCAGACGGAACAAAGCCAGCTCACTTGCTGATGGCCGCTGGTAGATCCCACTGTGTGCACGTTAGCATGGAGGGGGCAGCAGGGACGCCAGCCTAGCCAGGCCTTCCGGAGCACCTGCCCATGAGTGGCAGATGGTCCCCCTCCTCACTCCGTACCCAGCTTCATGGGGCAGGGCCCCTGCTCAGCAAGTGGGGGCTCTGCTGGGCACCGCAACACCAACAGTCCCCCGTGGCCACTATTCAAGGGTGGTGGTCAACATCTCCTCTGGATGGTACATTGGCTTGCCATCCTTTTGTCTGTTTGAATATCTGGGCTGTCACCAACCACCTTCTAGGAGCAGTGAGGATGGATCCTTCTCCATGTCATGCCACTGACCACTGGCCTGAGCTCGCACAACTCCTGGTAGCTGAGCTCACTCCCCCCAATGGCAGCCCTCGCTATGAGCCATGAGGCCACAGATCTACCCCAGGAAGTCAGTCATCAGCTCTGAAATTGGGTCCCCCACTCCCAGTCACCCAAGCCCTCCCTATGAAGTCACAGGCCTGCCTGCCCCCGCCTCTGCCCGCTCCAGCATCCTGCCGACCTTCCCAGCCACACCTGTTACCAGTCCCCTTTGGGTGTGTTCCCAGCCCTGCTCATAGCCATCCTGTGTGATCTGTGCCAAGAAGTCCAGACAGACAGGGACAACTGGTCCTGGGCTTCCAAAAAAAAAATCAAACCTGTTGTCATGAAGTCGATTCCAACGCTCAGCAACCCTGTAGGACAGAGAAGAACTGCCCCCAGGGTTTCCAGGGCTGTCGATCTTTCTCCCGGTGAGTGGCTGGTAAGTTCGAACTGCTGGCCTTTTGGTTAGCAGCCAAGCATTTACGCTCTGTGCCACCAGGACTCCCCCTCCTGTGCTTGGGCGCTGTTCTTTCTCACAGTAAATCGAGCCTGGAGGGGATGCTGAGAAGAGTAGGGGTGGGTCAGCTACGGAGACCATAGGGAGGGCACGTGCATGGGTCCCTGTTCCCTCCCCGCTGGCTTCCAGACCCATGATCTGCCCGACAGCTGGACATCGGTGGGGGCCCCCTGAGGCCCTCAAAGTGCAGGAAGCCTGGCTGATGGAGGACCACTATGGTCCAAGCAAGGAGCCCTGGCTGTGCACAGGTTGAGCACTCAGGTGCTAACTGAAAGGTGGGTGGTTTGAGTCCACCCAATGGCTCTGTAGGAGAAAGGACTTGGCCATGGAAACCCTGTGAGGCAGATCTGCACAGTCTACAGGGTCACAGTGAGTCAGAACCGACGTGGTGGCAAAGGGTTAGTGTCCAGGCCCCGTGTCAGGGAGGCCAAGATGGGCAGAGTCCTGCAGGGGAGACAGGTAGTGTGGGGAGAGCTAGTTCCTGCTCAGCCTCCAGCAAGGAGCTGAAATAATAAGTTACCAAGTGCAGTCAGTAAACACTGCTGAGTTGGTGAATTCGTGAGTAAAGCAGGAGGAGCCAGGTTGGACACAAAGGCAATGGGGACAAGCAGTGAGGAGGACTCAGGGCTGTGGGTGGGGGCAGGGCATGGCCCCCAGTACCCCCAGTACCAAGCGGGTGCTGTCCCACACAGTGACTACTTAGCTCAGCTCTATCAGACTTCTCTGCACCCATTCAGCCATCCATCAGCCATCCATCCACTCATCCACCTACTCATCCATCTATCCACCCATCCACCCATCCATTCACCCATCCATCCATATCTCAGACTCACACAGGGTCATTGCTCCATACATGTTTAGGAATTAACTGAGTCAGAGGAAATGTCGCCACTGTAGGTCAAACTCATCTGGAGTGAGAACTGGGAAGCTGTCGTCCTTTGGTCAGCAGGCAACACATCTCTGATGGGCCCTGTGCTTCAGGGGAACATGTGACAGTGGACAGTAAGCCACTTCCTCTTGCTGGCCCCTTTGCACCACCTCATCCGTACACAAGGGCCATGCTGGCCCATGGAAATGGGAACATCTCATGGCCCTCTTTGCAGGAATTTGTGCTAGTGGGATTTGAGGGTGGGCTGGAGACCCAGGCCCTACTCTTTGCTGTGTTCCTGGCCCTCTACGTGGTGACCGTGCTGGGGAACCTCACGATGATCGTGGTCATCACGCTTGATGCCTGCCTCCACTCTCCCATGTACTTCTTCCTCAAGAACCTCTCCTTCCTGGACCTCTGCTACTCCTCTGTCATCGCCCCCAAGGCCCTGCTCAACTTCTTCTCCTCGACCAGGATCATCACCTTCACCGGCTGTGCCACCCAGCTCTTCTTCTTTTCCTTGCTGGTCACCACCGAGGGCTTCCTCCTGGCTGTTATGGCCTACGACCGTTTCATGGCCATCTGCAAGCCCTTGAGTTACCCAGTCACCATGTGCCCCTCGGCCTGCACCCGCCTGGTGCTGGGCACCTACTGTGGAGGTTGCCTCAACTCCATTGTGCAGACCACCCTCACCTTCCGCCTCCCATTCTGCAGCTCCCACCGCGTCGACCACTTCTTCTGTGATGTGCCCCCCCTGCTCCGGATTGCCTGTGCCAACACAGCCCTCAACAAGCTGGTCATGTTCGGCATCTGTGGACTGATCATTGTGGCCACCACCCTCGTGGTCCTCATCTCCTACGGCTACATCGTAGTGACCATCCTGAGGATGCACTCGGGGACCGGGAGACACAAGATCTTCTCCACCTGTGGCTCCCACATGACTGCGGTGTCCCTGTTCTATGGGACAGTCTTTGTCATGTACGCTCAACCAGGGGCCGTGGAGTCCATGGAGCAGGGCAAGGTGGTCTCCGTCTTCTACACCCTGGTCATCCCCATGCTCAACCCCCTCATCTACAGTCTGCGGAACAAGGACGTCAAGGAGGCCCTGAGGAGGCTGGGCCAGAAGCACGCAGGCCTGTGAAGGATGGTAGAGAGTACATAGAAGTTCATCTTTTAAATACTGACAAGCAGTTTTCAAGAAAGGCTTCGAGCAATTTTATGCTCCCCAAAAGAGCACGAGAGTTCCAATCACTTCACATTGTTGTGATAATAATTTTGTTGTTGTTATGTGCACTCGAGTCGGACCCAACTCGTAGCAACCCTCCTTGGGTTTCTGAGGCAGTATCACTACGGAAGTAGATTGCCCAACCTTCCTTCTGAGGAGTGGCTGGCGGGTTTGAACTGCCAGCCTCCTGGTTAGCAGTCAAGTGCCTTAGGCACTACGCTACCAGAGCTCCTATATAATAATAGTGTCTATTTAAAAAAAAAAAAAATGTAGCCATTCAAAGGATATTTCATATGCTTCACTTCCATTTTCCTACTTATGAATGAAATGGGGCATCGTTTTATATATTTAGTGGTCATTTACATATTCTGCTTGGGCTACTATCTATGGTGTGCACTTTTCTGAGTTTCTTATTGATTTGTAAAACCTTACATATTCTGGATATGAGCCCTGTTGATGATCTAATGTGATGTGCAAACATCTTCTTCCACTTTGTAGCTTTCATCTTCAGTCTGTATGGTGTCCTTTGATCAACGGAATGTCTCACATTCAATGTAGTAAGTCCATTCCTTCATTTTTCTGTATCAGCTCACCAAAAACAAACACAACAGTTTTTGTAGGTCACAGAGATGATCGTCCAGCTTCTGTTTTAGAGGCTTACCTGCCCAATCTTTCTTATTTGGATCGACAACTCACCTGCAATTAATTTTTGTGGTTGTTTTGAGAGAGGGTCAAGTTTCATTTTTCTGCCCCATGGCTGCCTGTTAACCATGTACAAAACTAGTCCTTTTCCCACTGAGTTACATTGACACTTGCTATAAATGAAGTGTCCAGGTGTATGTCAGTCTATAGCGTGTTCATAGATGGGGAGGGTCAATATTTGAAGATCTTAATCATTGAACTTCACCCATAAATTCAGTGTTGCACTGATCTTGACAAGATGTTGACAGAATTGAACAAACTGACTCTCTATCATGTCAAAGAATATCCAAAGGATTTATGAAAAAGAACAGCAAGAAGGAGGAAGCTGCCCTGCAAAATCCAAGACTCCTTTGCAAACTCTAGGAACTGGGGTGGTGCCATGGTTAAAGCATTTGGCTGCTAACGAAAAGGCCAGTGCTTTAAACCCACCAGCCTCTCATGAGAGGAAGAAGAAGAAGTGGGAAAAGAAACAGAAGAGACAAAATACCTTCCGACAGAAGACTGTGCAAATAAATGGAGACGTTGTAGGATGATGTTTAAAACCTTTGAAATAAACACATAGAATAAGGGAGGATGTTGGGAACACATGTTCTTCTACTTCTGTGACGTGCACAGCCTTGCAAACTCCGTGGGGTAGTTCTACTCTGTGCTACAGGGTTACTGTGAGTCGGAATCAAGTGGACAGCAGTGGGTGGGGTTTGTAAAACTCCGGCAACCTGAAATGGAGCCTTGCCACACATCCAGTGAAAGCTGGGAGTAAACGGGACGGAACTCTCCTGCAGCAACACGGGAAGTCATTCCAAGTTAGGAAGTGCAATTGGGTACAAAATGACATTTATTTAATACGCCCATCAAAACAAGGAAGAATGAAGAGAAGGGGACGCCAAACACAGCTGGCTGTGCTCTCAGTACAACCTGGGAGGAGAACTTTGGCCACTAAAGAGACAAGGGCTGGCATGCATGACCCTCTCTCCCCACACTTCCCCATCCCCGTGGCCACCCAAGCCGCTAATCGCCTGTGTTCCTCGCGGGCCCCCAGGGTGTCCTAACAGGAAAGCCTTTCGCCTCTGGGGTTGAGCAGCATAAGCTGGTGGCAAAACACAGAAAGAGGCAGTGGGGCCTCCAGAAGTGAGGTGATCCTGAGTGTGAATTTAGTGGAGAAAAAACATGTGTACTTTGCTGCTGGAGAGACCACTTCTAGACACATGTCTTAGAGGGAACACAGGTTAATCGCTGCGGTATTGGTCATCAGGGAAAAGGAAACAGAAGAGACAAAATACCTTCCCACCGAAGACTGTGCAAATAAACTGAGACATCGTTGGATGATGTTAAAACGGGAAATGAACACATAGAATAAGGAAGGATGCTGGGAACACAGGGTGAGGGGAAAACGTGAGCTGAATATAAACCATACAGTGCTCAATGGCAAGTGTAAAATTAAAAACACAAAAGAATAAAATATCCGTGTATATTCATGTATATGGACAAGTGCAGCTCACAGATACTGAGAACAGTCATAGAAGCAGGTGGCCCTTTGGAGCCAAAGAAGAGGTTAACAACAGGGAGGCATGGAAACCAAGGACCAGGGGCGAGTCACGGTCGCTCCCACACCCTGTGCTGGAAATAGCAAGGCCCGTGTTCCTTCCGCCTCCGTGGAGGGGAAGAGCGTGAGGTCAAGGGGGTTGAGGAGCCAGGCTGGGAGTTGATAGCCCTTCTGCTGCCCTGAGCAATGACCCTGTCAGCCCCTGACCCTGCTACAGACACATTCCTGGTCTCCGTCCTGACACTGGCCTCACCCGGATCAGAATGTCCCAGACCCGGCAGGACCCGGCACATCATCACCTAGAAACTCCCTGCAGAAACCGGCGGCCGTAAGCAGGCACAGCCCCCCGTCCTGGGATTCCCGACGCGGGCCACCCTGGTAGACGCTCCGAGAAGACGGCTGCTGGGCTGACCCAGCAGGTCCCAAGCTGGCTGGATCGCAGAAGTCTTTCTTCGTAAGGAAGCGTGCATGGGTGCGCGTCCCTCAGAGTTGGCGTCCAGGGCACCCTCTTTGGGACACAGAGGTGTGGTCCCTCTGCCCCCTCACCGTCAGCTCATCCTCAGCTTTGCTCTTCTGAGGAGACTCGTGGCAGCCACAGTTCAGAGCTGGGGTGCAGCTCGGCTCCGCATGCCGTGCAGGAAAAGCATCACTTATACCGTCTTTAAAGACATGTTCTGTTCCAGTGTCACCTGTACATTTCAAAGTTGTGTAGGCACTCTTCATCACTTCTGTAAAGCTGTAACTCACGGCAGGGAGATGGGTCACAAGTTCTTACAGAAGGTTCTAGAAGGAGTTCAGTGACGATGAAACGAAACCAGCACCATCGTTAACAACGAAACATTACACCAAAGTGCGTCAGAGGGGAGCGCAACTCCCAGATGCCCACTCCGAAGTTTAGGGCTTCTGGTGAGGTGTCTAGCCTTGATTCTTTGGGTTTTCCCCTTGTCTCGATATTATCTTAGGATTGTCATATAAACTCATATGATGCGGGTGACGGTACAATGATCCCATCAGTACTGTGTCACTACAGTCTTGTCTATTAAAAGTTATACATGAAAATGAAATAATGTAAGGGTGAAAAGTCTGAGAATATTCAAAAATGGTGATTCTCTGCTCCGAAAAACCCAAAGTCACACCCCTACTCACTCCATAAACGAATATAAATTCTAGATGCATTGATCAGTAATGGTTGACAAACATATAATAAATGTACGATTATACAGAAGCACCTTTGGTCTGGCGTTGGTTTGGTTTTACTGGGGTTTCTGTTTTGATCTGCTCTGCTCAGTGTGCAGGGACAGGCAGCTACGAGGTTCAAAGCAAACTCAGAAATCACTCAGCGAAGGTGACAGATTGGGCCCACAAACAGCACAGACAGCAGAGTGGAAAACAGACTTGCCCACATCTTCGCCCTAATGGTGTTGTAAGATGCAAAGAGCTGGTAAAAATCGATACAAAAGAAGCAATAGCTCTGAAGGAAGAAATGGGCAAAACCAATGTTAGAGAAGAGATGGGAGTTGAGAGGGCCAAGGTTGACTTCTATGGAAACAGCCGAACCTGCCTGGGGCCTGGGGCCCCAGGATGCCCTGTCCAGAGCTTCAGCATTGAGCTCTCTATTCACTGGGGCTGTTGGCTGCCATACTGGGTGGAACAGAGAGAGACCATACCCATCCTACAAATCGTTGAGGACAGTGTTCCCTAGGGGATGAGGTGGGACTGTCCTTTAAAACAAAAATCAGGAGATGTCTCTGACCTACGCTGGGGAACAAAGGTGGGAAGTCACTGACTACTGCCCCTTCAGCGAGCCCTGGAGGACATGGTGGGGGGTAGGGGTGACCACTCATGATGGGCTCAGCTGCCTGGGCCACCTTCCAAGGTGCCTCTTTCAGAATCAGGGTGCCCAGGCCACAGGACAAATCTCACAGCAAGCTTGAGGCCAGGATACAGGGTATCATTTTAAAGAGACAAATTACAGAAATAGGAGAGCAATGGCGAGAAACGGAGGGAGAGCTCTCCCCAGGGGCAGAGGCATGACCATCCCAGTAGGCACCACTTAGCCCATTGGATGAGCAAATACCAAGAAGACTGGTGATGTGAAGCACTGGTGAGAAGGGACACCCACTGTGCCATGTCCCCCGAGGAAGGACATTGTACATTTTTGCAGAGATGAGGGCAGCGCTTACACAATAAAGCAAATGGTCCACCTGGCAGTCCATGATGCAGTTATGGGAGCCCAAAAGTGGGAACATGAATAGGACCATCCTTGCACATGAAAGGCAAGGGTGTGAGTGGAAGGTCTGTCCCAGGAAGAAGCCTAAAGGCAGTGCACTGTGCCTGGGCACTGACTCTGAGGGGACCCCAAACCATGCAGTGACTCGGATAGATGCCCAGGGTGCCAGGTGAGCTGATGGGCGTCGGGTCTGGTTCAAACAAAAGAATGTGAAGACAGTGCACCGGCATGCAGACACTCTTCTGGAAAGAAGGCAGCTGGCTGAGCATGGGTGTGGGGGTCGGTGGCTGGGCTGTGACCAGGGGTCCACTGCTCCCGCAGGGAGGGACCTCCCTTCTGAGGGCCGTCAGCTTCCTCCCAGGTGCTCGAGCTTGTCTCCTGTACACCCCACGGGCGCTGCTGAGGGACGTCAGGCCCTACTCCAGGTGATCAGACACAGGTTGGCGATGTGGATGTTGCCTCTTTGGACCCAGGGGGCCAAAAGTCCCAACATTGCAGGGCCTGGCTCTCTCCTAATTGGCCATGTGGGGCCCTGAGTCCCAGCCGTGCCAGGTAGAGAAATGTCCCTGCATTGACCCCACAGTGTGGGCTCCCCGACATCGCACTACCCACCCTACGGGGACCAGGAGTGGAAGGAGGTGAGCTGAGCCTCTCCTGCCTCCACTGAGGATCCAGCAGCTGCCTGCACCAGGACCTGGAGCGCCCAGACCCACCTGCAACCCAGGTACCCCATTCGCCCCCTTCCCTCGCTCACTTTGCTGCAGAAGGGCTGGTGCTGGATGGACGGGGCAGGGACCCTCAGTGCCCAGTCCTGTGATTTGCTATATATTTTGGAGGACCATTGAATTGAGGACATTGGGGCAGAGGGTGGTAAAATCTACTAACAGGAAGATGGTGAGGTCAGATGGGCCACGCAGCCACTTGTGTCCCCATGATGAGTGAGCGAGGGTGGGCGAGCAGGTAAGGTCCACCAGAACCTCCAAACGAGAGTATCACCACAGGCTGCTGACAGAAGCATGCAAAACAGACTCCACCAACGGCCCTGCCTCCCACACAGCAGCCCCATGGGGCAGGCCCAGTGCCCAGGGCGGTTACACTGGACACCCATACGCTGTCCTCGGTGGTAGGGACTGGAAGATAAGGTGACCCATGCTTTCATCTGCACCCCTTTCTGTTGGAATAGTTGGTTCTTCCTCACCAGCCAAGGGCAGCACCTTAGAGAGCACGCAGGGTCAGGAGGGACCCTGGAGGGGTCCTCCTTCAACACGCTTCAGGGAGCTCACTCCTC